AAAAATAACAGAAAATCGAAATGCACGATGCGAAACGAAACGAAAATGCATTGGTAATGGCAACCAACCACTGGCATTGCACTCAGCAAGGGTGCTAATGTCTGGCACTACAACGTACAGACGTACTCGTATGTATAACCAAGGGCAAGCTACAGACATATTTAAGGACTTAAGTACGTTCACATCTCTGCAAAAAAAGAAAGTAAAGTCGCAGTTTTTTTTCTTTTTAGAAAATTTCGAAAACTTCCATGGCTGATATCAGTGGCTATTTGCATTTAACAAATTTAAATTTTACATACAACACACTTTACATCCATTACTCAAATTAACTTTGATTTAAGAAGATTAAATTAATGTTAAATGTTGTCAGCGGCCCGCCTGCTAACCCTCTCAGACGCATTGTCTCTGTTATGGGATAGCAATATTTTCAAAATTAACTTCATTTTAAACTTCTAATTAAGAGATTTTAATGTAATACCCGAAGTCAATATATCTCATATAACATTTCAGTAAAATTGTTTACAGGAATTTGCAAAATTATGTTTTAATGTTTATTATTGTAATGATGATGTCCACTATTGAAATTTTTATTTTAAGCGACTGATTTACGCGTTCGAAAGTGTTAAATATCAAATAGTTACGCGTTTTATTTTTCTGCATAAATCAATAATTTGGATTTTTTAATTTTTTTTAAACATAGATTGAGACCGTTTTTCAGTCCGAAAATATTCTGAATTCAGTATTTTAACTTAGGTACGAGTATATGAAGCAAGCACACTCTATTGAATGCTTAGTTTTGAAATTTTCATAGGCAATAATGTCTAGTGATGAAGTCCTGCACCGACTAAGGTGATTGCAAATCGTCAAACAATATTTTGAAGAGGTCAAACAACATGTGCTTGTGTTCTATAGCCTGTAATAAGTTAAAGAGTATCAAATATTAGGTCAATTGCAGCAAACGTTGGCTAAGAAATAGGGCGCGGAAGCTGTTTTACACAATAGTCGGTGATAGTATTGTATTTGGTACCAAAATAAAAATCATTGGCACAAATTAAAAGAGAAACAAAAGTGAAAATGGTGCAAAAATTTGGAGATCAATAATAATCACCGGGTTTGAAAGCGCCTAGTTGCAATATCAAATCTGCTATAAAAAATTGATTAAGTGCTTCGACAAAGCAACTGCCAAAACTAAGCATATTAATACATTGTTATTAATAAAAAACCAGAATTCTCCGAAAAATCCAGCGCTTATTTCAAACCATGCACCTTCTTATAGGGTTTGTTAACATATTCATACCTTTCTTTGTGGTATTTCGCGAAATATATTGAGGACCTTGAATATATTGGCATATGTCAATATAATTGTGTACACACATACGTATTTATATGTATATATGAATGAAAGTGTGTGAACTTTGTTAAACATTTCTTGTTACTGAAAGTGAACATTTTTTTTAGTAAATAACTTTGTGCAAGAAAACAAGTTGAATTAAATCAACATGGAAACACTCGAATTCTAGTTCATATGAGTACATTTACAAAAGCGTGTGCATAAGTCTGTGAAATGTTTTAAAGCCAAGAACAGCGAGAAGGGCTACAAATATATCTGCGATAGGAAAGATCCGCACCTATGTATGTATAGTATTGCTAAAAAAAAAGCAGTCATTTAAAAAGCATGTGAACAGACAGACAGACAGACAGATAGACAGTCAGTCAGACAGACAACAAACCAAGCAACCCTTGAAAATGCTTTGACGAACTTGAATATGGCAAAAAGGGAATGACCCGTAAGCGATAAATATATGGGTTCACAGTGTAAATATGTTTGTAGGCATTTATACTGCTACATACATATGTACATACATATATACATATGCTTGAAACTAGGGAAGCACTGAACGACTCTGTGCTAATACTCGTATGTACGCGTTTTTGTAAAATGAGGGCAGTGAACGTCGAAATTTAAAAAAAGGTATCTGCTGTATGTACATACGAGTATAGATATGTATGCACGTATGCCCCATACGGTTATGTAGTGGAGAGTGTATGTACTTGTATATCAGTCGGCGAATAGCGTACGACTATCGGCGAATAAATGGGGTGTGCTGCTTGTAAAAATTGTAAACTACAGCAACACACACGTACACACAACTGTAGTAAGTATGGAATGGAATATTCGTAAAAGTGGATTTAAGTAGAATACCACGCACTAATTATGAACGCAAACAGTACATACTTCCCCTGTCGAATGTGTAACATTTGGGTTGCGTATGCGCAAACGGCAGATGTGACATTTTCGTATGCGCACATTTTATAGCATATGCCGTTCGACTGTTGCACTGGTATTTAATATCTAGCTATCGGTTGCATAAGGCTTGATTGTTTTTTTTTTTTTTTATTTGCCTTTCCATGGTACGTTACTGGTGACACCAATTTAAATCGTAGTGAAATATCCATGTAACGGAATGCATACATATGTACATATTTATGTGAATTAGAGCTCTGCTAAAGCTACATACATTCGTTTGCAAAAATTGTAATTGTCGCACACCTTTTTCTGAACTCGCGCGCATTAGAACCAGTTTACTAAAAATTGTGCTTATATTTTAAGTTGACAAAAAGAATTGCTATTTGTATATAATTGGAAGCAATATGTTCTTTAAAACATATTTATGCATGCTTATAAGTATTAAAAAATTCAGTTTTGCTGCTCCAATATGGTCCAAACATTGTTTAGAAACAATTCATGCAACATGTCAAAGGATTAGCGCACGGTAGAATAGTCAATGCAATCCATTTACGGTCGTTGTCGTGCAATTAACGGAAAATATATAATACTAAAACAAAAAAGCAATCACAAGATTAGAAAGGGTTGCACGCATTTTAATATGTAGAGTATGCTAGGCGTTCTGAGTCTTCAATTACATGCATATGAGATTAAAATCTGAGCGTGAAAGCATAGTAATTGCTTAGGACAATGAAGAGAAACCTTTGTTGGTAAGGTTAACCAAATAAATTAATCCGGTTGACAGGCGAAGCTAATTCACAGGGTTGACGAAAAATGTCTAAAGACTTTTGGTTTCTGTGCATAACAAAATACTACACTTCAAAAATTGTACCGCTAGGCTCCTTAAAAGAAATCTGTTCATTAAATTTATTTATATACATTTCTGTGCACTGATATTCCATTTAATTGAAGGTAATCTTCAATCTATTAAACCAAACTAAATAGATTTACATAAAAAACCACAACGCTTTTATTTATCTCAGATCAATTAGGATTGCTGATGAAAATACTGATTACAACCCTTTTTACACCTTTTAACCGGGTTGCAAATATATCATTCGTTCTTTTATATTTTTTACCACTGAATGCATGTAAGACTTGCTTTTATGCGTTTGGGTGCGTGTTCTAAAAGCTCATGTGTCAAGTTGAAATGTCAAATGCATAAAAACATGCTTCACATTTCCACCGTTTAATTCGAGATTTTCACATGACCATATGCCAAATGACGTGTTTTCACAATACGCCCCTCTTCGAAAGGCCATAAAACTACATAAATGAAGGAAGTGTAAAGGCTATTTAAAAGTCGTAAAATTCTTTGTTGCCGATTGCACTATTGAAATTTGTAAAAAAAAAAAAAAAACAACAAGATTATATTAACAACTTCACAGAGGTTAATGCTATGGAAATATTTAATAAAAAGAAAAAAAAAAAATATGTCTCACTTTTACTAAGATATTCAGCGGTGTTGTAGAATCTGATAGTTGTCGGAGTCAGATTTGAAACCGAAAAAAATGTAGTAGCTGTCATGAGTTCAAATATTATTGGTTTGACGTTCGAAACAATTATATTGTTTTTGTTATTAATTAACCAATTATATCGGTTTTGTTATCAGAAGCAAAGCAAGAGGATTTTTGCTGACAGATTTGAAAGGTAAGTTAAGAAAATTATTTATATTATAGTTACGATTTATTTTATCGTTATTTCTATAGGGAAAAACATAAGAATAAAACACAAAATGTCATAATTATTGAGTTTATGGAAAAAATAGAGATATTTTAAGAGGATTTTGCAAACGTATAAAACTTGTCTCACTGATGAAGTTCATCAGAAGTACGAGGTGGTTCAGAGAGGAGCCAAAAAAGTGGGGGAACCATAGTGTCGGTGGTATCACAATCGGCCTAGGTGTGTCAAAAGACAACCACTCTACCTACTTACCTACCTACCAAACGTAATAAACGTAATTTAACTCCCAAATGCGTCTTTATTCAATCGATAACGTGATATAAATCTGTAAAGTTTGCATGTATACAAACCTACAAGTAAATTCAAGAAAAGTTTCACGTGCGATTCCCCTGGTGCATCCAGTGGATTACTGTGTTCCCTTAATATATTCCTTTAAATTTTTTCGTTGCTTTTTACTTCCTATAAAATAAAAGCTAAAATAGCGGAACTCATTGTAAACTTTAGTAGACTTTATTCCGTATTATAAATTTACCAAACGCATTCAAATTTATTCATTTGCAAGTTTTGTTACATTAGCAAACAGCTGATTCGAATATTGGTTTTGCGTATGTTCGAAAAGAAGAAAAATCCAATCAGATTCTGTGACACCATTGAAAATCAGAATTGATTTGCAATTCTGACAACTACGCAAATCTGTCTTGGATTCCACAATACCAGTGATTAATTATAGATCGTTTTTAAGGCATTAGGACCCATGATTTGGCCTTTCTTAACTTTGTGTAAATTTAGCTCCTTTTAATTTGCAAATATAAATTATCGGTGAAAAAATTATTTTACTATATTTGAAAAATGAATCAGATAAATAAACTAAGTACTTTATTAGCCATGGATTTCATTTTTCAGAAGAGTTAGTTATTCGATACTTATTGTGGAAGCAGTTCCATATGTAGAATTTCAAAATATAAGCTTTTTTAGGTTTTTAAAACTAGTGTAAGTAAAGAAGTAATTTATTATATAAATATGTACTTACAAAAATTATAACAGTTCAAGGTTCTGAAAAGAGCAAAAGGAAAAAAAATTATTATACATATAAACACATATATGTACATATGCTATACTTGAACTTAAAATACTATGTACATATATACTAGGGTGGGTAAAAAAAAAACGTTTTTTCGTTATGTATTCTGAAAAATAGGTTCTGAAACAACTCTACCTTTTTGGTAGAGCAATAAATTTTCTTATTTTTGTTTTTATTTATGATTTTTTTTCATTTAGCATCGCTAAGTTTTCATAAGAAAGAAAATTCCATTTAAATAATCAAACTTCAACTATTAATATTTTTTAAATGGTTAGCTTTAAGAAAAAAGTTGTAAGAGACCATTTAGCAATCAATTTCCTTTAGACCTATGTAAAGAGATATTTTTTAAGTAGTTGGAAGCGAGATTTTAATTTTTCTATCTGATAATAGGAAAACAAATATAAAACTACAAGGCGAAGGACCTTCGCGTCACAATAAAGAGCGCTTACGTGGAGTGCACTTCTTAAAGCTGTCTAAGAACCTATTTTTAAAAAAAAAAAGTCGTTTTTTAAGCATATTTATTTATAACATTTACTACATACAACAAATGTAAGTCATCTGCAGAAGTTAGTTAATGGTTAGTTAGAATTTCCATAATTCACAATTTTCCACTACAATTCTCAAACCAACCTTTACAAAGTATCTTTATGTAACTTACTATTCTACGACATAGTTATTTGTTACTCTCTAGATTTTATTCAATTACTATTTTCCTGAATTTTACAAACCACCCCCTTTTTAGCGCCCATTATCTTAATATTTGCCTATGGAAAGCCATCATAATCCCAGAGCGAATATTTGATTTTTATTAAAAAGGAAATCATCACAGACACACATCTTTTTCGAAACCGCTGCTAGATGATATTTCTTTAAAACTAATCAAGATTTTACTACAAATGTGGTTAACTTGTCCTGTATACTCTACACAATAATGAAATTTTTCAGTCAATTCATCAAGTTATTGAGTTGAGTTTTGTCAGCACGATTTCTATAGCTTGAAGTTGATAGCCAATAGAGAACGTTTTGAGATTTACAACTTCACAATTTTTTAGATTAAGTAGACTGCCCGAAATACAATTGGTTGAACAAATGAAGTCAAATGAAAGGTTAATTCACTAATTTTGAATATTAGATGGCCAAATATATACCAAAGAGCAGACAAAAATTCAAGGCACCGCAATTTCTCCTTTAGAAAACTCTTTGGTATAACAGCGTGCATTTTTTGTAATGAAATATTGAGTTGTGCTTGGATTTGTGGTTAACTTGTCGGATTGAAAAACTTCTTTTGCGGTTAACGTATTGAATTTAATAGTAAGACCAGAGGCACACAAGTCCTTATTTTACCGCAGTACTTTAAAACCACAAATTCTCAATTTTAAGTATTCTGCTGATATGTGGTGTCGTACATATTCTTGTGAACTTTATATTTTTATGTTGTATGCATTTCCCAAAAATACTTAATTAGTAGAGTTTAGTAATATAAAAAATATAAAAATTGCAAATTATTTACTAGAACGATACAATTGACACTAAAGTGAATCCGTCTTCATCATTCAAAAATATCGACTAATAATATCTGCGGCTTGCACACCACTAAAGACTTTGTTTGGCCTGTCAGGCATGTTTCTCTTCGCTGATTCGATTTGATGAAAAATACTCTCAAAATTTGCAACTCAGAACGCGAGTTTGGGTAACAAATGTCAGCTATTTTTAAACATTGCTGCGGTGTAAATCTGTTTTTTTTTTGGTACTTTGACAAAGATTTTTTCGTAGGATCTGTTTGTAGTCTTTTTGGAGCATATTTTGGTTTCAACTAATTTGCGTAGTACCGACCTCCTATATGTTATATTTGGTTAGCTACGTAATGCCGAGGTCTGCCTTCGAGTATGTTCTATCCAACGTAATTTTCTGAGGTATCTTTGATTTAGTACGGTTTCCTAATTGCTTAACTCCATAGTGCTGTGTTGCTTATAGTTTTAGATCAAAATATTCTGCAAATAATTTCAAGACACTTGTTGATGAATGAATGAGACCAGTTATGTTTCGGTTAAAACAAAAGCGTCCACTCTCACGATAGCGAGAGAGAAGAGAGGGAACGTTAATGCCAAACGGGTAAATAGTTGGACATCAATCCATTTAGGAAACTATACTATACCTCAAAACACAGCCTATAATGTTGTTACTTTTATGTACTCCTTCTCTCTCTCTCTCTCTTCAATATTAAGTTTTTAAATTTTCAAAAAATGTTCGAAATGTTTGGTTCGATTGTAAACCCTCCGAATAGGTCACTGACTTCTAAAAAAGACAATCTGTTGTTCTTGACTTATTTCTATGTTAAAAATTTGATTTTTATTGCAGAGTCGGGAGTATGATTATAGCAGAAACTCGATTATTATTGCGTTACTTTCACGAAGATCATGACCCGAAAGAAAGAAATGATTAATCATAATTGTTCCAAGACCTGTCGACCCACCTTTGAGTATGCGTTAAAAATGGTCAATTCGACTCGAACTGACAAAAAAAAATTTCACGTTTTCTGCAACATTTTCAACGATTCCGTTGTCGTGATTCCATTAGAAGCACACAATTTCTAAAAAGCTAGTTGATATATTGTTTTTCGTGGTAAAAAAAAATAAAAATCGCCAGACAAACTTTTCGCGTCTTAAACAAACAGCTGTCAAACACACACTAATTGACATATGGTAATCAAACTTCACACGAATATAAAAAAGGTTGCGACAATCAAGGAAAAAAATTATATCGATTCGCTTTGCGCGCGCATTTTAAATGAATCAGTTCGAGCCAATTTTGATCAGATGGTATATAATCGTACAATTTGCATACATATTTGAAAGTAGTATAGAATCATTTGCGCACCGCTGCGTTTCCGAATCATTGCAACAATAAAGCTTTTTTAAATCAGCAGCAGTTCGGCACAAACTATAACTAACCAATAACTTCCTGACAGCATCTTTAGTTGCCGGCAACAACAGAACGTTTCGGACAGTTATAATGCAAAACAAGTTCCAATGCTGTGCATGCAGGTTGCATGTGTACATATGTATGTCTGTAAGCTAGCTAGGAAAAAAACATTAATAGTTCAAAACTGACTGCAACGGCGTTAGTGCTGACTTCCGTTGGAGTTGCAGGCAAGCGGCAAGCAGACAATTGAGACGAGCCCGGCACCAGCCGACAAGGTAATGAAAGAAAAACGAAGCGTCGATTGCTAGGCCAGCAGACAGAAGAACACGACATGCAGACGATTCAGTGAACGCATGGACAGACAGAAATAGAGAGCAATGCAGATGGCGCACTGACAGCCTGGCAGTCATGCAGTCATGTAGGCAAATGCTTCGTGGGGGTAATAATACCATACAATAAAAGCTTAGCCAATAACCGAGCGATGTGCATCCCAACGTCGAGGGATAACATTGTTGTGGTTGTTGTTTATGTGGCAGATGACGGTGCTGCTGTTGTTGTAATTGCAATGCAACATTTTAGAACTGACTTTGTTGATATGTTTATTACGGATATTGTGGTTGTGTTGTTGTTGTTGTTGCGCCACGAATACTTGGTTACTGTGTTATTATAATCTTCGCTTCTTACTCCACGTATGTAAGTATGTAATTGATGTAGCCATTGTCGGCATCGATTGTTGCCCCATAAAATTATTAAAAGCTAGCAATATTAAAGGCAAAAGAATAACAAATGTCATGCATATAAACACAAATATTACAAAAAGCTAAGATAAATACAAAACAACACAAAAAATAAGCTGATACAACCTGTCTACGCACTACTTTGTCGGAATTTTTTTGTTGATGTAAATAAATTAATATGTACTTATGTTGTTGTTGTATGGTAGAAGAATGCAAGAAAGATGGCAATTGCTACATGTGGCAACGAATTCACGAAACGCAAATACAAGAGAATAAGAACAAAAATTGGAGAAGAAATCGAGTGCTATCAACAGCGTTGGAGCAATAATTGCGCTGAGAGTACGATAAAAGCAGAACGGCGCATCGATACGCACAAATGGCAAGGACCATTGAGCGCGCAGAAACACCGAAAGAGACAGAGAGGTGGCAAAATAAAAACTATGAATGGAATTTGTATTTTTTACTTCTACACACGATGTGATGCTGACTTAAAGCCATTTTTACTATTTTATTTTGCAGATAGACTCCACTCACAGACTTTCAGAAATTATTGATATGAGTTTTTGGCTACTTTTATTACCGTGTATAACATTTTTGTTGAGATTCAAAACAAACATATTAAGGATTAAGGATAACGCTCGAAAGGATGATTACATCAATTCTAGTTTGAAAAATTCAAGTTTTCGTAGAAATTTGCCGATATTGTTTTTGCTGATATTGTTTTAATCACGTACATATATATTTTACCAATGTATTAATAAATGTTTTGTAAGTAGTAGAATAATAACTAAACTCCTTGGCAATACAACTTTATTTACAAAAAATCTGATAACATAAAATTGCCGTTGCAGATACTCTCTTTCATCTGTTGCTCATTGTCACACACACCGGTATATGCACGATAAAATGCACCGGCAGTTTAGTCGGATAATTACGAGAGCATTACCAACAACTATAGTTCAGCGCACACAATTTAAAATCAAATTGTGTTGTTTGTGTTCAGTTCACAACGGGGCGAAGATGCACCTATTGTTGTTGTGGCTCCAATGCGGTACCTATGTACAATAGGATGTGCGTTACAAGTGCATGCGATAAATAGGCGAAAGTGGATTATGTTTAAGAAAAAGTCATATCCATATCTCGATGCTGCAAAATTTTGCAAATTTGTTGTAATGTTAAAAGCGTCGAAGCAGTATTTTTTGCACATTTCAAAATTATGTTATGCATTTTTCTGTGCTTAATATTCAAGTATACAAAACTAAGAATGCATGTGCTGGATCGTAGCCAGAGTTGTAGTTGCCTTCATCCAAGCACTGTCATTGCATTTCGAGTTTACTTTCCCAGCGGACTTTTTCTATTCGCTTTGCAACATATTATTCGTGCAATTTTTGTTGTTTCGAAGTTGATTGCTGCTCCAATTGTTGTTGTGCACAAGTTTCAAACGCGTCTGTGGGATTCTTTCTTCCAGTGCGTCGTCGGCCGCGTCGCATTCTTGCAGTGGTCGTATATGTATGTAGTTATAGTGTTGGGAGTAAATATTCAGCTGTGCTTTATGGCGGCTCCCGTCGCTTCAATGGAACATTGAATCTTCATTGCATTTATTGTGTACCTCACTTTGTAGCTATGTACAGGTTGGTTGAAAAGTTTATGCGCTCGAAATGAAAAAATACTGTTTTTGGTGCGAAATATATTTTTTTATTCAATATAAACTCCCTTAAATTCAATACACTTATTCCAATGATCCTCCAATAATTTTATTTTCAATATTTTCTGCAATAATATTCAGAGTTGATTGTTTTACCTTTCTGCAGATAATAAATCAAAATTCTTTTTGCATCGCAAAAAACTGATGGCATAACCTTCTCTGCTGATCGTTGTGACTTCACCTGCTTTGGAGCTGAACAACCAGCTTCAGTCCACTGTAAACGTTCTTGTTTCAATTTAGGATCATGGTGGTAGATCCAAGTCTCATCCATAGCTATAAAACAAAGCAAGAAATCGGTTTTATTCTGCTTAAAACGCTCCAAACTATGCTGAGAAATTTTGTTTTCGATCCAGTTTTTGTTGAATTGTTAACGTGTGCGGCACTAACTTTCCAAACAGCTTTTTCATATGTAATTCTCCATGTAAACTATGAAGTACTCGTTCGTCTGAGATGCCTATGGCATTAGCAATTTCACGCTTAGGCAAACTTGGATCTTCACTAACAATATTATGAATTTGCTCAATGATTTGTGGTGTAGGGACATTTTCTAATATGAACATATTTTATAAATACTCTTTTGTGTCGGAAAAATTAGTAAATTGTTACTACAAGTAGGGATGTATGAACCGGCGACCCAGTCAGATATTTTCTTCTTTAAAAAAAAAGTTTAAACAATGGTTGCTGCTTCTGAATCTCCTGGTTATATTGACTCGAAAATGTCACCCGAACGAACGCAGATTCTTAAGCGCAAAATATATTCAATGCGGGACCAGCTGGTGGTAACAGCGGAGGAGTAAGGCCACAAAAGCACTTTCAATAATAATGTATCAGTAAGAAATATACGCACTGCATATGGAGCGTAACATATGTGAAATATAAAATCTTAATAGGTGTCTTCATACACATGTACATATAGGTACATACATATCTAATATTCACAACAAAATATAAGTTACTAAACGACAAGTGTGAGAAACTTAGATCGCCTGATTTAGATGCTGGAGTTATACGACCGCCCCTTCAGACGTTCTGCACTACTGACATGGGAATACGAAAATAAGACGAATAAAAGGTGAACTTGTGTAAATATGAAATGAGAAAAATCCACACTATGGTAAGTATTGAGAAACAGAAAAACGGAATATGCGCTCCCATGGTTGGGTATTCAAATGCGCAGGATGTGAGAATAGCAATAAGAATAAATAGAAATCAGCACGTACAAAGGATAATGACCGAAGAAGGAAACAAACCAGCACAAGTAAGCGAGACTAGACGGGCGACAGCAGCGGACTACGGTTAGTAATTACAAGAAGGCAAAAAGAGTTATTTGATTTCTGTTTCAAGTGTGCATTTCGTGTACGGCACATGCAAATGTTTCACAGATTTCAGCTGGTGGTGCATGGATTACTGCTTGAGGGTAGAGTGTGTATAGGGGATGTGTGTGTGTGTGTTTGGTTAAACAAAATTCCGGGAATTTTCGCAACAACTTTGTGTGCGCGGGCGCCTTAAAGGGGCGGAAGAGGCGACACCACCAGTAGAATCGGTAGCACTCACACACACCTATATACATATGTATGTATAAGTAAGACACAGCAGCTTACGACTAGCTCTGCCCCAGCCAATGTCTGACAACCTCAATGCCTCTTCGCATACTTTCCTGCAGCGTGTTGCAATTATTTTACTAAGAGTTATATTGCTTTTGTGCGACAACGACGCGGACTCTGCGGTGGCATTGTATGGAATACTCTCAGCGGACATACAGACCGTGCCTTTGCAGCAAACAATGAGGATGCAGACGAGTCGGCAATAATTCGCGGCAATTGAATATACTTGAACAAAATTTATGTAGTAAATGAATGTTTTGTATAATTTTTATTTTTAGGTGAAAATATATAAAAATCGAGAAACTTGTGGCATTCAAGAAACATCCTCAGACCAGCAGACTATTATTTGGATCAAAGCAAACCAATTAGTATTATTATAACTGTCGATAATTTCAATCTTTAGAGAGACCACTTTAGAATCGTTAAATGTTGGCATATATCGGACCACTATAGCATATAGCTGCCACACAAACTGACCGATCGGAACAAGTCTTGTATGGTAAACTTCTTCTTTTGACGAGTTATCTCTACGAAATTTGGCATGGGTTATTGCCTAAGGCAATGATGCAATCTCCAAAAAAAATTTATCAGCTTGTTGTTTAGCCTTTCAAGCAGTAATCAAGTTATCAGTCAACAACTTTATACTGAGTTTTAAGAGACATGTAACGACTTAGGCATCTAAATGAATGAAGAAGATTCATTAATGAAAGGATTTTTCAATATTTTTATTTTGTAACTTAAAACAATACATTGCTTGTACATCTATATATAATATTATATATCAAAAATATATATATTATACTATATGCAGTTCATAAGAAGCATGGAAGTTAAGAATTTCCAAGTGCATTAAAAGTTAAATTCATAATTGATTTGCGTTCATAACTAATTAAAATCTAAATTATGTAGCATTTGTTAAAATTATTATATTTTATGTTCATTTTCAGTCTTACCATATACTTTTGAAATATACATACATATACGCTGGAACTACTCATTTCAGTCAAATACATATGACCTATTGATCTTATATTCAACAAGCAGCAGCTGCATTCTAATACAAATGATATTAATACGCGAATGCTTTATAAGGCAGATTCTCCAAAATTTGCGCAAAATGTTATGCAAATTCTTCTCATCTACTCCGTCTTACAACCAAAAATACAATTTTGTAATCTTCATAAATTTCTCCGTCGCACTGTTCGGTTTGTGCATTCTCGCAGGAAGCATAGCGTTTACAGCATCGTCACCCTTCAAACACATTTGATCACTTTCACCTTTCTGTATTACAAACGTGTCTTTGCGAGGGTACAGTTGCGTAACAGAACAAAGCAAAGGGAGATCTTTAGCTCAATTCCATATAAGAAATGCATAGTTCAATTATTGTAGTACAGTTGTACGGCGTCAAATGGATCTATTTGCTCCACACCTGCCCGCTTTGCCACAACTTAGTTTGTTTCGTTATTGCTATTCGTGTAAATAGTTCTCCCTTTTGTTTTTCTTTTCCTATGCTTTTAGTACCCTGTTTGTGGCACTAGTTGTTTGTCACTGTTTACCAACATCTGCCTTGGCTTGTGATCAGACGCTTTTTCTAGTGTGCCTGCTACGTTCTTCCTTATTCTTACCAAGCGCCTCATTTCGAACATACACTGTTCATCCTTCAATGCTGTCCTTTCGGTAGAGCATAATTAACTGGTTTGTTTGGCTCAAGTCTCTTACAAGCATAATATGGATACTTGCCTATGCTGATGCTATGATAATTATTGATCTTTTGCACTCTACTGCGACAGGTGTTATTCTAAGATAGGCGAGTAACGAGTGGTAAATTATACCTAAAACTCTTCACTTTATATAATATTAGCAGCAGCCTTTTAATGTTGGGTAGCGTTTAATATTGGAATTTCCACCCATTTTTAAATTTCCGGCGTTACCTTTTAGAAATTATTGGGAGAGTAGTTTATGGGACACGTATGATAAACTTCTTAGAGGGCGGTAGCATGTTCACATTTCATAGTTTCAAAATCACATAGGGTCCTCCATTATATACAACAGAACGCAAATAATTACAGAGTTATAACAACGTGGCTCTTCTCAACGAGGAAAATCTGCAATTATGCATATTTGCCGTAAAAGCCTATCTTTGACATTAACACTAGAACTACGAACCGGTCAAAATGACCGGTGGCATCATCGACTGAAATGTTCAGGTGATGAACATGGCACAAAAATTCCGACGGTTAATAACCCTAAAATTTTAGCCTTAACATTGGACAGTCTGTGCACCTTCACTCCTCACACAACTGCGATAACTGCCAAAGTACACAGCCGCAACAAAATCCTCAAATCGCTTGTCGGCAGCTCTTAGGGAAAAGACAAAGAAATGTTGTTGGCAACATACAAACCAATCGGCCGGCCGGTCCTAAACTATGCATCACCAATATGGTCGCCTGGATGTAGTGCAACGCAGACGAGGAAGCTTCAGAACACTTGTCAGAAC